TGAGATTAGTACACGAAGCTTCAACTCGAAACCGCAGTATACGTGTGCGCGCACCTTACGTTTACGTATATATATATATATATATATATAATATATATATACTCGGATAGTTTAAATTCTAATTGCCTGTGGTTTCAGTTCCTCAAAGACCCCCAAGGGCCTCGCTCAAGGTGCGCTACGCTTGTTCCTCAATCTAACTTGCAGCCACCGAGCACACGTTACACAATAAATACGGCACTTAGGCCTTAATTACAATCTGTTACTTTCATCTGCAACTCTTGACAAGATTGATTGACCCCCCTTCCTCGCGGGTTATGTGGAAGAGCATCCCTTGCATTGACGGATTATCCCGAGAAATGAGAAAGAAATCTCGCGATTAAACCGTACAATTGATGATGTGAGCGGAAAGTGTGTATGATTCTTATTCCCGACTTCATCTGAAAGTAAATTGCACGCGAGGAAATCCCTCGAGGGGTCTTCCGAGAAAAGAAGATCTGTTTATCTTGTGTATATTCTTTATTCAATCTTGATTTGTTTTCGACGAAGTATAGAGAGAAAAAATAGTTAATCTAACTAAAATTCACCTTGTGTTGAATTGACAGAAAAATTTGGATAGACCGTTTGGTACATGTGTGAAATGTGTCAAAATAACAGAAATATTTTTACTGTGTGCAGGTGTAGAAATTAATCGAATAATTAATCGAATACGAAATCCTTTTGTACGCTATTCCATATTTAATTAAAATAACATGTATTAGTAATAAAAACGTGTTTCAAAAATTAGAAAATGTCGGGACACATGGAGTTACTACAGTCCGATCCATCCTGTGTATTGTGGTTTTGCAGGGATTGCGCCTGCGATCCAGTTGACATTTTTAATAGAGACAAATGGCACTATGTTTCGAAAGTTTTGCTCTGTAGACTGAACTAAAAGAAAAAAGTATTCGATAAAATTTGATAAAATGGCAGTGAAACAAAACAAAAACATCGCAGAAAGGAAATGTTTTTTATTGCAATAGAATTTAAATAAATAATATTTTTTTGAATGGAGTTTAATAAGATCTGTAAAACATTTAATACTCTTCAGTTAAAAAAAAAAAAGTATCTCGATATTTTCATTCGTTTTTGAGTTACACAAAATCACGATATGTTAATATTTCTTAATTTCTTAAATATATTTTTATCGTTATAATATACGATATAAATAGCCTATATATACAAGAGAATTTCGTATTCAAACAATTCATTCCTACAGCTGTAATAACGAATTAACTGTCAGCGACATCTCATAAGTTCAAACCTTTCTCTACCCCCTTTAATAGAAAAGTGCTCTCCCCGACTGCTACAATTCCTTCACTATACGATTATAATTGCAAGTAGCAAACACGTTTTCCCCAACATAAGGACATCAGCTCGCGAAACTGATCGAATCGAAGCGGAATCCGGCAGAATCCGCCATTCCCATACAGCACGAACGTTCAATAGAAATCCTAGGAACGTCCCAGGAATATATATTCTAACATCTCCAGGACGTCCCTAGAATGTCTTTTGAGCATTTGCGTTGTATGGGTTATTAAACTGCGAGACACTGTTCGACAAGAGTAGCGCAAACTATCGGTCGCTGCTTGCAATCCAATTAAATGTTACTCCAGAGTGCTCACCAGCGCTCGAAAGATCTTTCGATTCGCACGATGCGTAATTCATCGACGCGAGTTATCAATTCGCCGTGATTCGCCGTAAAGCGGAGCGGTCGTGCGACTGGGAACTTTCCCGGATCTCCTACGTGGATGTTACTTGTTATTGCGGTTAAACTTTACGGTCACGATATCAATACCACCTGCTACATGAATGATCCGCGCCAACGTTTGCCAAGTCGTCACGCCGCGACACGTGCGGAGAATAATATCACCGTTGATATCGCTGTACCCGTGCCCGCGATAATCAATTATAAATACGCTATGCGAGCTCCGTTGATACACGCCGAGCGGATAAACCGTGAATGAATCAAAGCGAATGGTAGACCGGAGCGGGGCATTCTTTGAAGTACGATCGGTGAATTTTCAATGCTATATTTGTAACTGGTGGCTCGGTTACAAGTAGCATTGAGTGAAATCTCACTGAAAAGATCAGTTGATAGAAGCGATTGTTTCCATTATTGACGCGATCTGCAAACGTGGGTATGAAACGCGTTGCCGCACGCAAGGCGTACGGGATTAACTAAACCGCCACAAAATGCGGAATGTTGGATCGGGCACATATATATAATAATACGCCCAAATTGA